ACTTGAGATGTGTTCTGCCCATTTATGGCAGAATGATATTCCGAGGTACCTCACTCGTAACCTATCGCATTTCTATTTTCTTCGTTTCCTCTGATTTTTTGGTTTGGGAAGTACGTTCTTAACATGCTGCTAGATGAAGAGCATTGAGAGCACAACAGATTGACTAATTGTTCAACTTACAAGTTAACTTATTAAACGAAGCACATTTATCTGATAGCTGCCTGACACACACTTTGATCTAACCTCTTTTTTTCATTTTTTGTTTTGTACGCCGGTAATTCAAAGCCTATGTTCAAAGCAATGTTGGACTGTTCATTTGGTATTCTCTTACAAGACGCGTCAGGCCGTAATGGTCGCTGACGCAATCTGGCGTCTTTGATAAAATACAGTGTGGTGATCTATCTTCTGCGTTACAATACTTTTCATACTTTATTGTACATTGAATACTTGATGCAAGGCCTATGCCAGATTACAAAGTGCACAACAAAGTTTTTATTTAATATTTAGTCCTTTTTTCTTTTGTCGCTTGTATCAGTATTCAGGTGTGTCACATTGAGAGTCTCATTGTTGTAGATAAATAATTAAACTATTTACTGTGCGGTGGAACGGTCTAATTATTCAACAACACGTACTCTAAGTAGCAGATTAAAAAACCCATAGAAGAACACAAATGCTATACTTACGTGGATCTTGGGCTGTTATGATGTTCATTAATGACATTACGCCATATAAGATCAAAAAAGAAAATCCGAACATTGTCCATAAAAGGTAATCTCATCAACAAAGAGAATACTTCAGAAAGCTCTTACCACACTTACTAAATCGATGGTCATTTAATGTATATCAAATAACTATAAAATCTTATCCAGGTTTCATAGCACAAAGCTTACAAGGAAATTAAATAAAAATGCTCCTACTTAAAAAAATATTTAGCTTTTGCGTGGTCAAATAATCATTTCTCTATTTAGATATCCGTTTGAATATCCGTTTGCTTTGATAAAGGCGTGCCAATACAGGAAACGCTGGGAAGTTTCATCCACTTGAGATGTATCTAACCAGAATAAGGTTCCGAGGAACCTCACTTGCAACCTATCACATTTCATATTCTTGACTTGACTTATGCCGTCCACGCAGAGGAGGACATTTTTTTTTTTTTTTTTGGTCTCGAAATTCAAAATTTGACATTTTGTCCCGTTGGGGGGGGGGGGGAAGGTTACCTTTTTTATGGGAACCATTGGCAATTTTTTTATCTTTTATTTAAAAAAAATTTAAATTTATTTAAAAAAAAAAAAATAAAAAAAAAAATCTCAAAGGGGGGGGGGGGGGGGGGTGGGGGTTTCCAAATAAGCATACATAAAACATACGCATAAAAAAAAACTCAAGGGGGGGGGTTAACATCTAACCAACCCCCCCCCCCCCCCCCCCCTGCTTACGAGCCTGTGCATCTGTCGGCCTTGTTATGTATCTTGCTTTGCAGTCCTCTGAGATGCAGTCAAGCCGTCTTTTGTGTGGACGGCCTCTGGGTCGATTTCCTGTGACATTTCTTTCAACAGTAATTTTTTTTGGGTATCTTGTGGGTTTCATTCCTAGGACATGGCCAAAATATTTAAGTCTTTTAGTGGAGACTTTGTCTATAACATCTTGATCGAGGTTGAGGGATTCTTTGATGTGTGTGTTTCGGATCTTGTCTAGTCTTGTCACCCCCATTATGCGACGGAGGCATGCCATTTCGAACACTTGAAGCCTGTTACTATCTTCTTTTTTAACTGTCCAGGATTCTGCCCCATAAAGCAGTATTGAGAGGACGAGTGATTGATACAGTTGCACCTTCGTGTGGCTACTATGTTTTTTGATGTCCAAATGTTATTCCAGGAGCGGATCCAGGATTTCTTGGAGGGGGGGGGGGGCAAAAATTTGAAATCAATGGGGAAACTTGAAAATTGCGCCGGTCGATATTTCACGCATGAGTGATTAACAGCCGTGCAAAAAGAAGACGAAAGACCTGATGCATGGCTGATCTTCAACGAAACGGAGTTAAGTCTTTTGTCAACTCTGTTAGTTGCTACGGCAGGCAACCAGTGAAAACTAACTCGTTTGATCAAATTATGGAAATGCAAGCATTACTTTAAACAAAAGAACTTTGATATTCCTGGCTCCTTTTACCTGATTGATATGTCATATGAAAGAGAAGAAATTGAACTTTCTAGAAATGTGATTTTCTCCTTGAAATTCAGATACCGCCCGCCAAATGACTTTTTGGTTTCCTCTCTTCAAATTGCTTTTAATCACTCATGCGTGAGATATGAATCATATGAGTTGCATCAATAAGCTTTCCAAATATGTGTCATTTATTAATTATAATTGTGACTAAGTTATGATAAAACAATGATAATTCTCGGTTTCGCTTTTTTCTAGGACGCACTGTATATATAAATATATTTATATACGAACATATGAATTTGAACGTAATGTAATCTGGGTTGTCGTTTCTTTTCCTGACTTGTTTGCTCTATTCGCATGCGTCTATGTTTTCATAAACAACAACAACATTGATGGTAATGATAATCATTACGATGGTAAAGTATTGTAATGATAATAATAATGATAATAATGATACTAATAACAATAGTAATAATAAAGAAAATGACTTTGAATAAGAAAATAGAAGTTTCAATGATAACAAATGGATGCCATACAACACAAAACTGAGATAATACATTTGACAAGCTTTATTTTAATTTTTTTCGCTGCATTCTATTTCTGAACTGACATGTAAGTATATTGGTGAATGTGGAAACATTACAGACGGGGTTTAACAAAGGAATGCTCGTTCTTATTGGTTTAAGATTTGTAAAAAAAGAAGAGATGCTTTTATTTGTCCAAATATTAGAAATATATACAGGTGAAATGGATAAAGTTGCCTATAGTGCTGAAACTATTCATAGTGCAATAAAATGGTGGATTCAAAATCTCTAACGCAATCTAGCGTTACCAGTGCTTATTATTTTTTTAAAGAGTTTTGACGTGATGCATCTGGGGAAAAAGTCGACATCGCATAAACTGGTGCTTTCTTATACACCCTAGGAGACTAGGGGATTTAACAGAATTTTCGATGGGGAAGGTTTGAATAGCTTATATGGGGCTGCTTATACAAATGTCAGTCTTATAGACCATACTCACAATATGGGGCTATTTTGGCCATTTTTGGCCCAAACTGACAATTATATAGTGCTTTCCATTTGTTAATATATTTATCAAGGTTGATATTTTCAATCGTTACTATGAGTAAAGGAGATTTGGCTATTCTATGTAAAAATGTGTCCTGATGCTCAAAAAAGTGGGCAAATCGACCCCCTTCAACAGCAATAAAGGGACCGAAATTACCATTTGTATCAATTTTTTCTCTAAAATAGGCATTTTTTATCAGTCACAGTCAATTGATCTGTGGTTTTTTACATCCAAATTCAATATAAAAATATGCGGTGGTATCAAAACAATTAATCTCATTGGATGAATTAACAAAGTTGGGACCGCTTTAGTCATTTTGATCGGTGGGTCGCAATGTGCTGCGCTGCTTGGGATGAAAGATGTAATATTGGCCTGGCGCGGCTAGCCGATGGAGGTGCTGTTAATTGTGAATGCACCCTATTGGCTTTAATGACAAATTTACAAGCATTAATATACATTAAGTTTCTTAAAGTTTCATAATCATTGAGTGAAAAGTCATTCTTACCTACAATTATACATGTACTTGGCATTACATTTGTTATTTCATATTTGTACGCAAAATGAGACTGGTGAAATCTAAATAGCTCCACTGACGCCAGTAACATGATCGCTCATCATGTGTTTCAGTTCCTCGGTCGTTCCCAATCTCAAGTTCTACCTTATTTCTACCTTAATTCTACCATATCTTATTTATAACTCCTTCACCCTCCTCTTCCCGATAACGGTCACCTCTCTTTTTCTCGTTTCACAAAAAGGTGTGCGAGTGTTGTGTGGGTGTGTGTGGTTTGGTGTATGGAGGGGAGGAGGAGGATACATGCCCCATCTATATCCATACACTTTATACTCTTAGATTTAATGCCTAGTCGGGAAATCTTCAAATTTACTTATTTGTTCGTTTTTTTTCTCGCTTTTTATTAAAATTATTCATTCACAGGCAATTACTTCGGGGGTCTTGCTGAACAAATGAGGAATAGCTGTATGCAAATTGGAGAAACCGAAGACCAGTTAAAAGCGTTTCCAATCGTTTCTAATATTGGAACTTTTTTTCTTTGGTCGTTGACAAATGTTCAGCCGCCTTGTACATACCCCATCAATCAAAACGTTAGCATGATGCCACTGCGCACAAGTCCCTCTCCCCTCCCCCGACACCTTCACACACGCACGCACCGAAGATCGTTTCACATCTTTACTCGGAAAACATTTCTTAGGATTTCAAATACAAAAAATGTCGAACTAGCACTTAGACGACTCCTCGTATGTGCAGGTGTATTTCTCAACCAAGATACATATCAGATGTATTCTGCTTTTGTTAAGATATCAATCGATTCCTTTCAACAACTTCAAAGCAGCTCGACTTAATATGACAAAGGTATTATCTTGCAAGTGGTGAAATACAGATTCTTGATATAGCCATAGTGCCATTACAATAATAATCGTATTTGTACAATCTATTTATCATGTTTACAGAGAGAGCTCCGTCAAGGTTGTCAGATGTTATGGAAACAAAATGACTTTCGAGTTACTTTCACTTAGACCTTACGGTGCTCTAGAACTTTAACAGAAATGTCGAGTTAAATTGGACAATAATGTTGCCTTCGAATCTCGAGTTTTCGTAACCCTTCTAATATCCAAACCATCCTCATGAAAATGTACAATCCTCTAAAGACGGACGAAATTAATTCTAGATTTTAGCCTCTTCTCTTTCTCTACGGTTTGGGCGTCATTATATGTACTATTATGTCTGCTGTTTTCAGCGGTTTTCAGGGGTGAGGTTAAAATTCGCCGAGTGTATTGTAAACATTGTCATCGTGGATGACGACGTTCGCAGGATTCCGCGGAGACGTAGCTTTCTGAATATTAAGTGCGTCGTAGGTAGTACCCTCCTTTGCATCGGTGAGGTTTTCGATACTTGCATTCCTCGATAAGGTTGTCTGGGATTTAGAAATAGAACGTATGATATGACCCGGCTTCTGAAAGTCTAACGTATTATACTTCTCTTCATGACATAATGAGGCTGTACTGGCATTCGATGTAGGATGTCCAAAAGCCTTTCCAGGGATATTAACCTCGAGGTATTGGTCATCGTTCCCGTTATCGTTGGATGCCTTGGATATCGAAGGACTTTCTGCTCTTGTTGGTAAGTGTCCACTTTCTGACCCGTCGTAGAGGGCGTCTGCTGTCTCTGCTGAAGGTGTTGGCATGTTTTTGTTGTTGTCGACGATGCACTCTTCGTATCCATCTTCGGTTAGTTGACGCATCCTTGGAGCAGCTTCTTCTCGAACACAGGATACCGGACCCTGTGATTTGACTACGTCAACCGTAGCATTGTTAGCCAATGATTTGTACTCAAGAACATCCTCTTCAGCACATTCCTCGTAAATATTTGGCATATCTTTCCCAAGAAGGGGTAGATCGTCAATAGAGCAGTAAGTCAAGTCAGCGGCATTAGCATCGGGAGTCACCCCCTGATATAACTCTGTAGGTAGCCTACTTGCACTGGAGCCTATGATGTCGTCTTTTGAATCCCCATCGGCACCGTAGACTGGATTCCTGTACACGATATCTGCAGATTCGTCATCAGGACTGGAGGGGCCCAGAGTCTTTGAAGTTTTGGATCTGTAAAAGGTGATTAGAGAGAAAGAACAACACTGTAGAAAGTGCCTCAATGATGCAAATTAGTTCCATTATCCTTGGAGAGTATGATAAATGTTCAGAAAACCCCGGAATCCACAATGTTGCAAGTACAGGTGATGGATTCATAGATTCACGCAAAGTAACTTCTTTCGAATATAAATTCACAAATGAATACAGAATAAAACAAAGGGACAATTACCCTGCCAAGTTCAGTTTTTCTCTTCTGAAAAGCATTTCGATGTGTTCAAATATTGTGTCAATTTCCGTGTGATCCAACATTTGCCGCTATATCAATCATTCGAGTATTACTTCGTCAAAGATTCAGTGTTACAGTTAAAGTTGCGATTAAGTATCTAAGTTCGGTATAGGGTCAAGGTTGAGTTTAGATATGAAGTTTGGTCAAATGTTCAGGAATTTTGAAAGTGTCAGAAACTCACAAGGACGCATTTATCAGAGAAATGTGACAGGAGTCTGTGTTGTATAGATCAAAGCGTTACCATTGCCGTCATCTAGCACAAGTTATCTTTTACTATTGATATTCATTCTAATTTATACGTAAATCAAGATAAAATCTAAACAAATTCTGTTGATATCTAAGCACATCCTTTAGTAGAAAAGCCGTTAACAGTTTGCGAGGGACTTTTTTTTTTACCATAACCTTCACTCTCTTTTGATTTAAAGTTGAAAACGAGATAGTAAGCGGCGTAGTCAATGAAACTAACCAGGATTCATCCAAAGTAAATTCAACGAAACAATTGTTTAAAAGGTAATACACGACTCGTTCAACTTACCCTTTGCGATGATACATGAACACCGCTAAAATAACAAATCCGATGAAGAGAAGAGCCACGGAAGAACCGATCGATGCAATAACTATATATGTTTGGGAAAGAGATAAAAAAAGAAAACATAAAACAAATAAATCTCATTCTTAAGATACTACGTTGACCAAATTTTTCTAGATAATTAAATGTATGACAATAAAAAATGAATGTTTCAAATGTAGGCATGACCAAGAGAAAAATAGATCTAGTATCTTTCATTTTCTTGCTTGTTAAGGTCTGATGTGGCATGGTGACTATCATTAGCCTAATGATTGGTGATGCCTCAGAAGATACCTCAATGAAATGAGAGTTTTGTGCTGCACATGTTGATCATACCAAGGATGAAGAAAGAAGATGTCAAATCAACAATTATTAAAGATAAGACGAATGGAATGAAAATCAGCTGATGAGTAAATTGATCAAACCATTCAGAGCTAAGATCGTGGAGCACTTGAACAGTGACCTACGGGTGTCTAGAGATTGCAAAGCTTTAGTGGAAGCTTTGCAGATTAGAATATTACTGACCATGATGAAGACAGGACTACAGTTGCCACCGAAAGGCATTCGCTTCCATCACGTTTTGACAAAGCACGTGAAGAAGAATACAATTAAAACTAAATTAATTCCTGAACAACAAAGCTCAAAACATACCTATAACTTCTTTGAAGATTGTCTTGGGTGTTGCGTTTGGGACACTTGTCTTCATTACAGGTGATGTGGTCGATTGAGATTCGAGTCCTTAGGCATGGACGTCAACATGCAAACAAAAACATTACATTATTTCTTTGGAAAAGTCATTTGGAGACGACACCGCTGGGGTTTCACTATAAAGTGGGAGGGGGGGGGGGTTAGAAGAGGAACGACTGGGAGTGACACATTTCATTAAAACAAATTATTCTGTAGGCAAATATATTATCGGATTGTGTAAATTTGTAAATTTTTGGACCATACAGCCTCATGGACAATACATGTTATCTGAAGGCCTTTTGCATTTAGCAATAAATAATTTGCAGTAATAAATCTGCGTAAAAAACATGTCCAACTATTGCCATTCAAAATTAGTTTTATACTATTAAGGAATACATTATTAGGTGCAGTATGGTCATTGTGGTATTTTGGTGAATGATCTTGCCTCGTGTACGAGAGATCCTGGGAAGATATGGAATACACTAGGAAGAGTATTTCGGCATGAATTTCTTTCTCAGAAATGATCCAGACTTTTTTCATTTCTCCCTATCTTGCACGAAATAAATTGAATATGTTCGAATCATTCCGGGGGGGGGGGGGAGATGTCAAAGCACTTTTCCCATGTTTTTCCCTATATACCACGATTTACCAAATTCAACTGTTGCACGATATCATACTAACCTCGTATAGGAACAGTACCTATCATTGCCATAAACCCAGAGCATGATGCGCAACTCTGAAGCTCGCCAGCACTTGTAAATCGGAGCCAAACGTACGACCCTATGGATGTGATGTTGTCTGGAACGGATGACCCAGACAGTTTGGATCTCTCAACAGCCTCCTCAAAGTCATTCGTTCGTCCTTCATAGATGGTGACGAAATCATAACCTGACTCGGTGTTGAAGGCAGAGAAAGTAACCATCACCCTTTCTCCTAATGGAGCGATCACTTTCCATAAAATGTCGGTATCGCTGTCGTATGAGCGAGGAAAATTCGGAGATGTCAGGTTTGTCGTTTCCGAAGTCGTTAACAATATACCTGGTATTCAAATGACAGTATAAAATTATTTTAATTTGATTCGTAAGTGTTTTTCAATTCATCGATGATATCTGGAGAAAAAAAAAGAACTTGATTCACATCTGGTATTCAATCTTATAGACAATTAAATTGTCATAATTGATAAACAAAGTATTAAGTTTAATTTATTCTAAACGTGGTATGATATCAACTATGTCAGAGTGTGTTTAGAAGAAACTTAACTTACCACTTTGTTAATGAATTTGAAAATTTTTATTTAAAAAAAATTGAATACTAGATAGGAATCGAGTCAAAATATTATCTTTCGGTTAAATTCCCGATGTATATCAAATTGAAATGAATAACAGCAATAAAGAGAAAGAATTTAGTAGCTCACCAGGTACTGGGACAGAAGAAAGCAGGACCCTGAACCCTGTATAGGTATTGTTACCATTGGCTTGGTAATTCCGGTCACTGGTAAATCGTATCCAAAGGTAGGATCCGATTGAGGTGATGTTAAGCGGACTTCCATGTCCAGAATTACGACTTCTCCTCGTTGATTTCTCCAAGTCCTGCACCCGCCCTTCATAAATGGAGACAACATCATACTCGGGTTCGGTGTCCAAAGCGGTGAAATGGAGCAGCACTCTGTAGTCTGCTGGAGCTTTCACCCTCCATAAGATATCAGCGTAATTGTTGTACTCTTGCGGAAAGTTCGGAGATGTAACTTCAGCTACGGACTCTGGATTCTCTAAGGTAATTTCTGGAAGTCAAATAGAAGATTGGTTATTGATATGACGAATTTCAACAAACTGATTTGTGATTTTCGTACGAATTACATATTATGTGTATATTTTTGGCCCAGCTGAAGTTTCCAAGTGGTTTAATCATTGTTTATGATGTATATACTGCCTTATGGAGCAAACAGTGAAACGCTTTGTAATTGCAAGGAAAGGCGGTATACCAAATACTCTTTTAATTGGATTGGATTGGTAATTAAAGTAATTTTCAAAGTGATAATTCAGCATTTAAAGTTAAAATGCGTTTTAAAATACAAATATATATAATTTGTGTTGAAATACCAATACATGGATTATTGTATTTGATGAATGCAATATTTATGGGTTCATCAATATTACTCCTATGCTATGAGTCAGAGCTTTCGAGATGTCAGTTTCCGAACCTACCTCTTATCGTAATATAAGAAAGCATCGCCTCAAAGCCTGGGGAAAGCAATTCAATGCCGTTCCCTCCATCACTGGTAAAGCGAAGCCACATGTAGGACCCAATAGAGGTAAAGCTGCCTAATCGAGGACTTCCAGACAACTTTCTTTTTTCCGTAGACTCTTTAAAATCGGGCAAACGTCCTTCAAAAAGAGTGACAAAGTCGTTTTCATTCTCAGTATTGAAATATGCGAAGGTCACCACAACCCTGTAGCCAGTTGGAGCTTTCACCTTCCATAGATTATCAGTGTTGTTGTCGTATTGGTTTGGAAATTTAGGCGATGTTAAGTTGGCGGTCTCCGTGGTCGACAAATCGATAACTGATTTTAATTCAAGAGGGTAAAAGATTCAAAATGAGCGATTAACATACATATGGATATGTTATAAGGGTTTAACAGATTTAGGAGGAATTTATAATCCGCAAACACTGACACACAAGTAAACTGGCATTATATTATACATCTATATAACCATGTTTGACATCGCACTATTTTCAATACATTCAGAGTGATTTTGGATATTGTGATACATGATAGGCCAATTTTTACGGCTCCGAAGGGTCGTTATCCCGAAGGTTGGTATATCCGAACTAATAGGGTTCATAATCGTGCATATTCATAATACCGAAAATGCTATAGAGCTTTCTATTGATTTCGGAATAATGAACCTTATATCAGTTTCGGAATTATGAAACCTTCAGATGAACAAACATTCGGAATAACGCACCAAATGTTCGGAATTATGATTTTCGGGATTATAAATCCCTAGATATAGAATTAGGAACCTCGGAATTATGAACCTGGGGGTGGAGGGATGAGTGCTCCCCATTTTCCCTTGTCTCTACCATTTCTACGAAACGGTAACGTGTTTGATTGATATCTATGAAACTGTGAAGTGTGGGATTACTTTATGCAATGTTAAAATGGAGAGTTTGCAAAAGAACTTAATTTATTTCTCACCTGGTATATCAGCTAACAAAAGCTGTGCACTAAATCCTGTGTGTGTGCCTAACATGGATTGATCGTCACTGATGAATCGAAGCCAAAGATAGGATCCAACAGAGGTAATATTGCTAGGAATGGTGCTGCCGGATTCATGAATTCTCATCACGGACTTCTCAAATTCTGGTGCCCGACCTTCAAAGACAGTAACGTTATCCTTGAGTTGCTGCGTGGTAAAGTTCTTGAAATGGAGTACCGCTCTGTACCCAGATGGCGCTGTGACCTTCCATAGTATATCGGCATCATTGTCGTATTGGTTTGGGTAGTTAGGAGTTGTTATATTGGCTTCCTCCACAAGCGTCAACAATATATCTGGAATGTCAATAGAAGCATTTTTTAGCCAGTAGAAGTATATGGCATTATGATATGATCGCAGAGACTTCCTATTAATACACCAACTAAAGACCATTGCCTTTCGATGTATGCGAACATTGCCATGAAGTATTACGTATTCCGTACATGATTTATATGAGAACACGATAGGGCGTTGAAATCGCCCTTCAGATGAGTTTTGACTGTCTTTTCGTTTTTCATATACTGATACAATACTGATTAGAGTTCGGACTCAAGTAAAGTTGAATTCCATGACTTTACATTTAGTTTAAAAGTTTATAGATCAGCATGGCCGTCAAATTCATAGTAAAGTCGTATTTCTAGTTACATTCGAATACCCATCAATTTTATTGATTCCATCCATAATGTGTATTTTATACAGCCGTGGTCGAATAATTCTGCCTGAAATAGGCCTTTTCATTTATACTTGTATTCTTAGGAGAGAAACGAAATTACCTAAAATGAAGATACCTTAGCACCAATAGCGTAACCCACAATTTCTTTAAGTTTTCCCCATTTTTTCCTTGAATAGAATGTAAAGGGAGATACAGGTAGAAAATGAAAGCCAGAACTCCTTAACTGCTCAGCCTCCTAAGCACCCCAAAATAATATTCTAGATCCGTGCCTGCTTCGCCCGAGTCGATTAAAATCCAAGAATACTCACCACGTATATGAATGTACGACAGAAGAGCATTGAATCCTTTATCATTAGATTCCGCATCACTGGTGAATTGGAGCCAGAGGTAGGATCCTACAGAGGTTGTGTTTGGAGGACGGTCGAACCCAGATATACGAATTCTCTGCACAGCCTCTTCAAATATCGGCGTCCTACCTTCGTAGACGGTGACGTAGTCGAGGTCATCTTTGATGTGCAGATCCACGAAGTGCAGCATCACCCTGTGGCCTGGTGGAGCTATTACCCTCCATCGGATGTCAGTGTTGATTTCATAGTCGTTCGGGTAGTTTGGAGAGGTTACATTTGCCACTTCCGAATCCTCCAAACTGATATCATCTGGTATTTAAATAGCATAATGATAATACTGATGATGATGATGGTGATGATGATTATTGATTATCATTATGCAGATGATGATAATGAAACACTATAATAAAAATAATGATAATTATTATAACGATAATAACAAAATAACAAATAATAACAATATCAATATCAATAAAAATAACAATGATAATGATATTGATGATACCACTACTACTACCACTACCACTACTACTACTACTACTACTACTACGTCTACTGCTACTACTACTTCTACTACTATGGCTGCTACTAATACTACTGCTGCTTCTGCTATTACTACTATTTTGTAACCAAGGAAGCCTCATCAGCATCACTGCTGTTCTCCATGAGGGCCCTAGCAATTTCTGGTTCCCATTTACATCTGGGTGGAAAGTGACACATGTGGATTAGTGTCTTCTTAAAGGATGTTCTCAAGCGCCGGGTAACATTCAGAATACCAGGTAAAGATTTTTAATTCTTAATTTCGTTTTATTTAGGGTGAAGTTACACATTCTACCTTCCGTCTTTTATTCAAATTGAAGTTTTGGTTATACCTAACTAATTTAGCGAGTGAAAGTACACTTAGATAAAATCACAAATTAATTATAAAAAAAATTGTCTCATACTTCATCTTTAAAATGCTATATATCTTGTTTATATTATTTTGTACTGTCATCTTATCCATTATCTGTAGTTTTTGTGTATTACGAATGTAGACAAAGCAAACCTCCGGCAATGATTTATAAATAAGGAAGAAAGGAAGAAGATAAAAATGAACTGAATTGCATTTGAATAACAATTATTTGATACACACTGCTATAAGTGTGAGGGTCAGATTCGACTGAAACAAATCTAACCATAGAGTTTTGTGTTACTGCCGGAACAATTCCTAGGTGCGTGGAGATTATGAGATGATAGTGGACAAGTGTAAACCGTATAAAATATGATTCTTGGCACATATATTTTAATAGAAGTTTTGCATGATCCTACTTTGTAAATATTTAATTTACTTTCATATTGATCATGAGAAGGAAATACCGAATCTTGAATTGAAATTAAAAAAAAGTCATGAAAATAATATAGGCTCAGTAGGAAAATTAGATCATGAGAAGGGAATACCGAATCTTGAATTAAAATTAAAAAAAAGTCATGAAAATGATATAGGCTTAGTAGGAAAATTTGTTTATGTAAAGTTCAATTCCAGTAATTAAAACTGAAACATGCGGAAACGATGAACGAAAGTGTAATGTGAATTTATCATTGTGTGCTTTTTCGATGATGAATATCACTTTCATGAATTCTGGTGATTTCAATGGTAGTTTTATTCGACAATTCTTTGCAGAAAAAAGCTGAATAGAGGATATACTAACAATTTCTTAGTATCATTGCACGTTATATTGTAGCAATCAAAAATACATTAAAAATTAAGAATCCTCCAAATTGATATCACCTGGTATTCAAATAGAATAATGATAATACTGATGATGATAATGGTGATGATGATGATAAATGATTAATAACAATATCAATATGAGTGAAAATATAAATGATAATGATGTTGATACTACAACTACTACTACTACTACCACCACTACTACTACTACTACTATTATTACTACTACTACTACTACTACTACTACTACTACTACTACTATTACTACTACTACTACTACTACTACTATTACTACTATTATCACTACTACTACTACTACTACTACTACTACTACTATTACTACTACTACTACTACTACTACTACTACTACTACTACTACTACTACTACTACTACTACTGTTACTACTAATACTACTACTACTACTACTACTACTACTATTACTACTACTATTACTACTACTACTACTAATACTACTATTACTACTTCTATTAGTACTATTACTACTATGGCTACTACTACTACTTCTGCTATTACTACTACTTTGTACCCAATGAAGCCTCATTAGCATCACTGCTGTTCTCCTTGAGGGCCCTAGCGATATTGCAGGTACCCATTTTGGTTTAGTGTGGCACATGATTGTGGATTAATATCTTTCTAAAGGACGTTATCGCCGGGCAACCTCCAGAATACCAAGTAATGTTTTTTTTCCAATTCTTAATTTTGTTTTATTTAGGTTGAAGTAACACGTTTTGATAACTTCTGTCTTTTCTTCAAACTGAAGTTTGGGTTATATTGAGCTAATTTAGCGAGTGAAAGTACACTTAGATAAAATTACAAATTGATTATCAAAAAATCTGCCTCATACTGCATTTTGTAAATGTTGTATATCTTGTCAATATTATCCTGTACTGTCATGTTATCCCTTATCTGTAGTTATTGTAGACAAAGCAAACTTCCGGCAATGATTTATAAATAATGAAGAAGATAAAAAATGAACTGAATTGTATTTGAATAACATTTATTTGATACGCACTGCTATAAGTGTGAGGGTCAGACTCGACTGAAGCAAATCTAACCATAGAGTTATGTTACTGCGGATACAATTCCTAGGTGCGCGGAGATTATGTCATGCAATAAAGACTGTGTGGATTTTATGTGTGTGTGTGTGTGTGTGTGCGTGTGTGTGTGTGTGTGTGTGTGTGTGTGTGTGTGTGTGTGTGGCGGGGGGGGGGGGGTGGGGGTCATAGCGATTTTGTCTGACACAAATTATGAAATGTTGAATATAAATACCATATAATCATTGAATTTGTCAATGGCCGCTCTCTTTCCATTTGATAATATGAAGTTGATAGTGGAAAAGTGTAAACCGTTTAAAAGATGACTCTTAGCACAAATCTTTTTATAGAAGTTTAGCATCATCCTACTTTGTAAATACTTCATTTTGTTTCATATTGATCTTACATGTTTATTGAATCCTAAAATCTTAAATTGAACTTAAAATAGCCATGATATGTTTATGTAAAGTTCAATTCCTGTAATTGAAACTGAAACATACGGAAACCATGAACGAAAGCGAAATATGAACTCATTAGCGTGTGCTTAACGTGGCGACAATCATTTCTGCATTTTCGCCTACTGAGCACGGGACTCGAACCCACGCGCATGACGAAAGTGACGAGAGTCAGACGACGATCCGTTTGCGCCATATTATTTTAGATACTATCTTGGTGATAGGTAGGCCTACCACGTAATGTTGGAATATGCTCCCGACCCAGCAGTTTCAAAATTGTCAACTCAGGGAAAGTCCCCACCCCCCCCCCCCACTGGGTCGTGCGGCTGCACGTTTAAACCACACATGTTAAGGGTAATTTTGGCAGAAAATGGCACCCATTATTAGGGACTTCCATTCAAAACGCAACCCATGTGTAAGAAGGGGGGGGGGGGGGGGTCTTTTCTCCTGAAAACTTCCTACTCCTCCTGGATATCTAATTGCGCGTCAGTAAACAAGTTTCCTGCTGCTTTCAGAAAGTGGTACCCAGAAATTGTAGTGGCATAGTTGTGATCCTTCGTTTAGCCAGGAGTCCGTTTCAACTCCCTGGTTTATTGCTTACACAGAATTTTGTTTTGCGTACGCTCGAGGAGGGAGGGGAGGGGGGGGGGGGGGAGGGGGGGGATTACCCGTTTATAACTTAGTCAGAAGCAGAGCTCACATTAGTGATATTGATAAATCTGTGCGACTATCGGCGAGGACATGGATATTAAAAAGCGAAAGTATTTCAATGATTTTTGCAGGATTTTACTCTGGACTTTTCCCTTTAGCGAGTTTATGGGTGAGCTATTATCCTGAAGAAAAGTAAAACCTTTGTTTAAGGCAAGGATTTGAAAAGTGGAGGCATACCATGTAAATTTATACACAAAAGGCTGAGAATCATTGTCTAGTCCCCGGTTGAGAACGGCATAACCGTAACCAATACACAACGCAGTCGGGCCTTGCGGTTTCAGGTGAGAACCATATTTAACTGACCGAAATTTTGACAAATCTTAAATCTTAGTTACATAACTACTGATGGGGGATATGTATGTCCACTGCGTTAAGTTTTACCATTAAAAAGAAACCAAATTATTAGCTCCAACATAATAGGCTGACGTATGTTTATGCAAGTAAAGATAAACGTTTCCAAATGGGCCCTCTTCTAATACACAAAGGAAACGAAGACATCCCCACCATAATCCCACCTACCCACTTCCTTCCCATAAATAATGATACTAACTGAAGAAATTATTATCCAGCTATTTCTTTGAGACAATTTGGAATTTCGAGAAATAACTCAATATTTATGTAGTCAGGGGCAGTTGAGAATACTGGAGACCAGAAAATAAAGAGATAAACGGAACAAATGCAGTACAATAATGTTTTAAACTGATTTAGGCAAGTTGATATTTGCCTATATCGTACTGAAGACGCAACTACAAAGAGAATGATGAAAAGTGTTTAATTTCTTGATGAAGTTGGTTTAAGTATTTGACACTCGGTATCGAAATTCATAGAAATAACTCTACTACATATACTACTCCTACTTCTCTCCTACTACTACTACTACTACTACTACTATTATTATTATTATACTATTACTACTACTTCTACTACTACTACTACTACTACTACTTCTACTACTACTACTACTACTACTACTACTACTAATTTACGTCTGCTATTAATACTACTACTAAAAAGAAGGAACAAGGCTGAAAATAACGATGATAGGCATTCTAACTATTAAACACTGTAATGAAAGTAAAGCGAATTGAAAAATGAAACCTTTACTTAGTATGATGAGCATGGTGTACTTACTTTCCAAAAGTGCGTAGTTGGTATTAATAAGAAATGGTATTACACCAAAGATGAACAAAATAAACCCCTTCATTTCCTCCTAGTACTCGAACGGCCGTGCCTTTACAACGTGCTCGTGATTTATTCTGTAAAGAAGAATTCATTACCCAGGCAGGGCAAACAGATTAATGGTAGTCGAGAAGTAAGGATACAGACATAATGACATCGACTGCAGCACTTCTGCCTTCTCTTCACCTTAAAACAATCCATACATCCGTAGCGGATGGTGCTGTATTTACATGACATGTACATTATAATTAGCATGCCTCACGTGCAGATCAGTTTCCTATAATACAGGTTTCGGATATCATCTGTAAATTTCGGGAGAACAAGGTAACCACCAACGGGGATTTCCCTCTTACCTTTAAATGCTGGAGTGAACGTAACATCTTCGCATAAAATATTTATAGAAATTAAACCTTGTAGTTGTTTTATATGAGTCATCCACTATTAATTAGACCTAAAACCTTATTCAGCTCAGATAAGTCCAATATACACGACCAAACAGCTCACTTTAGCTACGTTAAAGAGTTATTTGAGACTGACGGCCCAAAAGACTGTCATTTCTCTATCTTTCCTTATAATATATTATATTCATTTGCTCTGTCGGTCTCTAGTCTTTCTTGTCGTGCTTATGGACTTGCTGAACTTTTGGTATCTTGGTATAATGAGAAATCCCCGGTGCAGGTCATGCAAACTGGTTTAGAATCTGGACAGCGACGTTTCCACTGCAAATGCCCTACCTATACACCTAATAATTTATTTAAAATTTAATCCATTAAAAAAAAATGTGGTAAGAGTCAGGTTGCATATGAGAGACGTCCAAAATGTAATTTTCCGTACACATTTCCATATCTTCAACCTGGAACAAAAACATTTAATATACTGGTGCTATGGACTTGAACGACTTAACTTAAATATCACTAAGTTAAACACAATTATATCCGTGTTTTTAAAGTATTTTTCGCTCTTATTTTCTTTGGGGTGAAACAAATGGACTCTAATAACACATAGTTGAAAGAAATGAAATCCGTCTTATTATAAAATTTTGTTCGTTTCTCTTTCAAGCTGTCTTTCAGTTTGAATTGAGGAAATACCGACCGGAAATGTTTAACAAAGGTCAGATAGGCCTACTGTACGTATATCTTCACGGGATTTTGTATTTCCAATAATCTTACAAGGAAGTATCCAACCACTGATAAAAAAGGCCTTTACTATTTTTTTCTTTTTTTAATGACTGTGCAATTATTTGTTGAAAACCTCTTCGTCATGATATTCTAAAAAAGAGGTTATTGAAAGTGAAAATGATCAAGCAATATTGCGATTTTTTTAGATATTCTAGGTTTTTTTTTTTTTTACAAAGGTACATGATAAAAATTAAGATCACCTCTAAGGGCAGTTTTAATTTGTTTTTTTACCCCAATTCTTATTATAAACTGGTATAGGCTTATATTTAAAGCCGGCTATGTCACGCAAGATCACCTGTATGCTAAGCAAAATGATCTATTCTCTCATAATCGTCTGTATTCTCCTTATTCGGTGAAACTCGATGATCGAGTCAGTCACAACGGCGAAACCGCCACCAGACAAAATTACATATCATATTATAAATTATAATTGAAAATTACCAGTCAGTTTGGAGTCTGTGTGAGGATGGTTTGGCGGTGTATACTAAGGTAGTAACCACGGTAAAACTGGAGAAACCGTGGACTTACACTGTTGGCCATAATGGTGGAATACTTATTTTTACCCCAATTTAAGGAATGATTTTGACAATGAATTATTCCTAATAGATCTAAATAATAATATTATACATTCTCAGATTTTATAAACTAATAATTTGCGAGTGTTTGTTTTGCGTTACTGCTGAAGCAAGTGTATGCTACTATGCTAATCAACTAGGGGACCTACGTCCTTAAGTCATAACTGACAGTAATGAGGATTAATGTATATGTGTATACAGTGCGTCCCATAAAAAACGAAACCGAGAGTTATCGATGTTGTATCATAACTTAATTAAAAGTATAATTGATAAATGACACATATTTGGAAAGCTTAGATCCTCCTCTTTCATTTGATGCAAATCATATGATGCATATTTCCCGCATGAGTGATTCAAATGAATTTGAAGAGAGGAAACCAACAAGTCATTTGGCGGACGGTTTCTGAATTTCAAAGAGAAAATCACATTTCTAGAAAGTTGAGTTTCTGCCCTTTAATATGACACCTCAATCAGGAAAAATGAGCAAGAAATGACAAAGTTCTGTTTGTTTAAAGTAGTGCTTGCATTTCCATAATTTTATCAAACGAATTCGTTTTCCCTGGCTGCCTGCCGTAGCAAGAAAGGGAATTAACAAGAGACTTAACTCCGCTTCGTTGACAATCAGTCGTAGACGAAAGACTTCATGCCTATCTGATTGTCACCGAAATGGAGTTAAGTCTTTTGTCAATTTTCTGGGACGCACTGTATATATATATAATCCTAAATTGTACATTGACCGGACATCATAATAAGAGGTATATTACCTTAACCCTAACCCTAAATTCAAAACAAAATAACCAATTAAACTAATGACTAATGATTAAATCTATTGTTTCTTGGGAGGCCTTTAAGTATCCTCTGCCTGCAAACGTACGCAGAGGGCAGTAATGTATTGTTCAATCGTTAACGGGACATGGAATTGTCCTTCTAATGACCATGTCTACTTAATGACTTATTTTTCACTACACATGTCCGTCTATTGACGCTGTAAGATGTAAATATATTAATATCATATAGATGTCTTCTTAATACAACATGTAGGGTTATTTATAAATCCCCTCTCTCTTCCCCCTTCCCTCTCTCCCTCTCTTTCGCTCTCTCTCTCTCTCTTTCTCTCTCTTTTTTTTCTCTTTTTCTCTTTCTCTATTTTTTCTCTCTCGTTCTCTCGTTCTCTCCCCTCTCTCTCTCCTTCTCCATCCATACTCTCTTTCGATTTCCCTTTCTTGTTTTATGATCTTAACTGAAGCCTGCCTTTTGTGTTAACGTGCGCCTCCCCTGTTTACTTTACCTAAGCTATATTACAGTCAAAATCAGGTGGAGGACCCGTGTGAAGGAGAATCACCACGTTTTTTCGGCGCCACTAATAGTCTATTTTAACCAGCTACCATAAGTGTAGCGTAACGTTCATTAATAAAAAAAAAAAAAATCATTCCATCAAAGTCTACCATGGGTCGTGTTTATGATATTTTAACTTCGCCCTGTTTACCTTTGGTGGTGTGTACCTTCTTAAGGACATCTAGTATTATAGCTATTACCAAGACCATTGGAATTTACTTAGATGATATCAACATAAGTCTTGGAACGACATCGACGGATCTCGAAATTGCTCATAGTCTCCTCAATGCATTCTGCCACATTTCAGGTAAGAATCTAAATCTCAATTATTCCTACTGCGACCACTCTAATCCTTTGCCAAATTATCTCTTATATGATCCTGCACGATGAACTTTTCATGATTCGCTTACACAATAATCAACTACCTCACTGCTGGAGTTAGGGGAGCATAACTGGCCGGTGCACCGCCACTTTGAAACTCAAGTGGCAAACCTTAAGGACTCCCTATCATACGCAAATCAAAGAATGTGTCCCCCTTTTCTTAAATGCTGACATATACGTTTGGACTGAAAAGTAGAGCTGTGGTGGTATAGACGATACACCCCCTTTGTATCATCCATATACATATTCAAATGCGTCTTACAATTAAGAGAAAATGTAGGTTTTAGATATCTTTAAGTTATTGAGGGATTACTGGCTTCGAAGAAATCTGGGAATCTCATTCTGTCTCTCGGGAGCGGCAGTTTTAGGAACTCATTAACCAAGTGTTGGAAGCATCTTGGGAGACGGGTGGTCCAGCTAAAACATATGCAGGAGTTTCGTGATGATTTACTGAAAGATATGAGTTCTGATAGCTAAGGAGGAACTAGACTATTGATGCATTTTTATTTTTTATTATTTATTCATTTATTTATTTTTAAATTTATATATATTTTTTTTAAAATTTTGTATTTATTTATTTATTAATTAATTAATTTATTATTATTATTATTGTTATTATTATTATTATTATTATAATAATTTTTTTATTTTTATTTATTTATTTATTAGGGAGGGGGGGGGGGGGGGGAGTGGGGGGTATTTTAATCTCCCAAAAGGAAGTTTCTTAATTTTCCCCCTCCCTTCGGGGTATAATTTAATTTTTTTTTTGAACAACACATAAGGCGAGGCGTCAAAAATAAATATACCAGCCAGCGGCAGCTAACTGCACTTGTGCGTCCTGGCTGCATTTTTTAAATTAGCTCAGCCGGCTACCGCTGGCGGTAGGACCCTCAATTAACTCATGATGTCATCATAATGGTCTCCGAACAAAAGCATGCGCCGGCTGCCGCCTTTCGAATGGAAACCGAGCCTCAGATCCCAGCCTGGCGCAAGCCGGCTGGGCTAATAAGTGCAAAATAATTGCCCCAGCCAGGCTTCGGCCGTAATTGCAGCCTCGATGCGCCAATACGTGAGGCGGCAGCCTGCTGGTATCGATATTTTTGACGCCTCGCCTAAACAAGAAATACAATTTTACAGAAATGAAAGATGAAAAAAGAAGAAAAATTAATTTTAAAATGTCGTAACAGCTGCATTGTTCATCAATCTTCTAAAGCATTAACATTTAACACATGCCAATTAGTAAAACAAAAATGCTCGTTGTATTATTTTTCAAAGCCACTTGCTTTCCTAGAGTGAAACTAAATTTGATTAAATGTTTGAAACATCTATACGATGGTCTATGTGTCCTTTATCTTTTTACTATATAGTTCTTTAAAAATTAAGATTGAACAAAGTTAATAAACAAATTATGGTTTAATATATCTTTTATATCCGAATAATATTGAGTCAAAATTCAAACTTATATAAAACACTAGTAATGTCTCTATACCAGGCTTGAAACTCTTACCATAGCGGTCTTACATATTCACACTTCCCCCAAAATATGCTCCATTGTTTCAGGAAACTTTTCATAAAAGATACATAGTTCTGAGTCAACCAATTTCATTCTTCGTAATCTATAATTAGTTAAAGACAGTTTGTGTTAATTTTGTACTGGAAAAGTCTTGTTCTAACGTCAATAGTTGATATAAAAAGTAAGATATATCAATTTTTTCCCAATCTTTATCTGTAATATCCATTTCCCTCGTAAATTTGTTATGAGAAGTAGTAGGTATAAAGATCTCTCTGATTAGACTACGGTAAGAATACTTGGATGTCATATTTTCTAGTGTAAACTCTGAGTCATTTTCAATATTAGTAAATGCCTTGGATACACAATTCCTCCTATCAAAACCTTGTCTTAATTTTTGTTTCCAAGCTAAAGGTATGGCATGAACAATACTCCTCCATAGCATTACAAAATTCGGGGGAAACTCCTCTTTCAACCCATTTTATTGACCTGTCATTATTGTATAATACGCTCACTAAGATTATACCTTTAAAACAAGCATGCGTTTATCAAAACAGGGTTAGGATGCAACACAAAATATTATTATTATTCTGAATTATTTGATTAGCATATTCTACATTGTCTGGATTATTAAAACTGAAATAAGCTTTCAACATTCCTTTATAAACGGTTGTATGGTCTTCTACGTGTGACTTATCAATGATATTCTTCCACCCATTACTAGTTGTGTTATACATATTTATACACTTCAACTGAGCTGCAAACATCGTTATAAGGTCGACCGTCTTGGGACCCCCTTCTTCTAAATCCCCTATGATAGTTTTATTTTAAATCATACCTTTATCTTCACCCCAAAGAAAGTCGGATATGATATTTTCTATACACTGAATAACATATTCTGGAATATCTAGAACTGAATCTAAATAAATGAATTTCGATACTGCAAACATTTATATAAAAAGTTTTTTACTTGAAAGTTTTTTTGTTTTTAGCTCTCCTAAATAATATCTTAGAGCGTTCTTGTCTGCATACAGCTCCTATCATTGCTGCCATCTATCGTCAGCAATCGACTCGTCCTCTGATTTTGATATCTGGTACATGTCTCCCTCCAATTGGCATGGCTTTGATATCCATGGTAACCAGCAACGCTCAAATATCAATCTATCTGTCAATAACCGGTAAGAAACTGTGCACCGAATCTACAAAAGATGTTTACAGTTCTTTTTGTTTCTCTTTCAAATTACAGTTGATTACATTATAGGGTTTTTGTTAACAGGGAATTGTTGAAATTAACTTACTATTATCAAAACATTCTTTTCGCTTTATTGAAGCAGGTTGAAAATCAGAATTTCCACTTTCTGAAAACAGCATGAAAAAAAAACAACTAAAATACGATTTGAATAAGAACTAAAGATTATAATAGTATCTTGTAATAATAATAATAATAATAATAATAATAATAATAACTTTTATTTACCCAGGGTAGCCACTTCATTTATGAAACTGTTCTTCCAGCGGGCCCTGCATAACATAATATGTTATTACTACCCTTCTCCAATCTAATATGCTGAGCGCCTAGCTAGAAGGCAGAAGGTCCCATTGTTATAAGTCTTTGGTATGACTCGGCCGGGGTTCGAACCCACGACCTCCCGTTCATGAGGGCGCTCTAACGACTGAGCCACCATGCCCTAGAGTAGGTGGTATGTCCACATTTGAAAATAACAATAAAGTACTGTATTATGTGTCATTTTGTTAACTCTCGTGATTTCAGAATACAGTTAACCCTTTTTCTTTTGCAGTACAATGTAGCACACCAGTGTTTGTTCCATATAATTAGATACACAACTCGCGGTCATAAATAAAAAGCGCCAAAATAGCGCTGAGGCAAATTTTGACCTGTACCTTTATTTTGAAAATTTGATGATGATTGTCTAAATGAGGGGTCAATATCACGATCTTTGTTGCACGGATTCTCAATTATAAAATATTAAAATATGGGAGAAAATCGAGTGAAACAAGCGAGACACTGTCCAAAGCAAATTGAGAAAATGACATCATTAATTAAAAAATATAAAATCTTACTTAAAATGCCAACATGATGACGTCTTAAAGCTTATCTGCCGTAGTTTACAGGAGGGATTAGACCGCTCTGCAAGGTCACTGGACAGGTGGTTATCTCATCAACTCAGCTCTCAGTTAACATAAGAAAGAGAGGATCATGGGGGACCAATGGTCACCGATTAGGCATCGTTTGTTATATGGAGGGAGCAAGTAGCTACCAGTAGTGCAGTGGGCCTTTAACCTCTGTGAATAAAAAATGCATGAAATTACATTAGCACTACAAGCTATTTGAATTTAATTGAATTGAATTGATTTTCTTCTGCAAAATATGAATGAAATTACATTTCTGGAAATACATCAATTCTGTTGATAAACAATTATGATAATTATAAATGATAACATTCAAACAAAATTTAACCGATAACACAATACGAAGAATTATTCATAAAGAAATCTGCAGAAGAAGAAGAAGGACTAATGCAATAAACGATTACTTGATAGCGTGATAGCGGGGTATGAAAAATTATTTCAAAATATATAAAGAATTATATCCCTTATCGTAAGATTGTTGCATTAGGTGTGTACACAACAAGAAAAAGAATAGTTTTACTGTAAAAGACGTTTCCTGCCGACTAGATCGAAATAGTTCATTTTTATTGATGACGTCACGCATAGTACCTTTTTTCCTAGGGAAAAAAAGGTATTATGCGTGACGTCACAATAAAAAACGCATATTCTTGAACTATATGCGTTTTCCCAGCGAGCGCGTACATGATTTCAAAGTGCCTCTGCGCGGTCAACCCCTGCGGTGTCACGGCGCTCAAGCCATATGCAATTTACGCTGTGCGATAACTGCACTACACTAGCGCCAGCTAAACATTTTTACATCCTTCAATGTTTCATTTGAGCTGTGCAATTTTCTTTATTTCTTTTCGATCTGAATGTAGATGTGAATGTGAGTATAAGGTTCATGTTATTACAGAAGTGTACAAGGAATAATACAGATGGAAGGGATATAAAACAAATATAAAATGACTCATTCTCGGAACAAGCTAAAACTATTCGCACTCAGGAACATCATTAGTACTTTTCTCCCTCGGGCCGATGGCCCTCGGGAGAATAGTACTAGTTGATGTTCCTTCGATGCGAATAGTTTCAGCTAGATCCTCGAGTGTCATTGTATATTTGTATAGTATTTAGAAATGGTAATGATGATGAAGGGGATGATGGTGATGATGGTGTTGATAATGATGATGATGACGAAATGAAAATGAAAATATGTTGATGTAAATATGTCTCACACAAAAAATAAGTGTATATATGGAAGTTATAAAATATAGGGATGGATGTGTTATAGAAATCTATAAATAATATTCAATATTAATTCAGCACTGGGAAAAGACCAAACAATGTAATCTGACAAAATTCTTTATTCGTATTACATTTAAATGAATTAAGGGTTTTACGTGATTTCACTGAGTCTAATTTATTAAGTCTAATTTTGATAGTATGTACTATATTTACAATAACGACAACAATAGGCCAAAGGCGATGGTTGCGTGTTATAAGCAGTCGCTACGACGTTCTTTATATCCAAGTTACTCCAATGAAGCTACATAGCAATGTTTAGAAGTATTTTACAAAATATTACAACCTGAGGAAAC